CGATGAGTGAGTGGTTTCGGGATCCTGCAGCTGCAAAGCTAAGGCTTTTGTTAGTCTATAAATAATGGTTGGAGTGGTGGTCCCACTATATAATATTGGCAGATCTGGCAGCGAACGGTTGTACCTTTGTGGGTGACTTAGTACGTACTGTATACAATCGACCGTAGGTTCAGTCACGGATCACGGATGACCGTGAACTGAACCGTTGAGGTGTCTCGTCACGCATCACGCAGAGCGATGAACTAGCCAGTAGATATGCATCACGCAAAGTGGTAAAAACAGAAATTTAGCTAGTTTGGCTAGGAAATTTCCATGTCCTGGCCCGAGATGCGGAGAATGGTTACAGGGCAACTCAGAAGAAGATTTCAGGCCATACAAGACAGTCAGGATCCCATAGCTGGCGAGAACTAACAGTCATCCAGATGCGCCACAGCACTGATGGCAGCGCCACAGGTAGATTTTAGTCCGGTTGACAGGGTAAGTTAGCGACGAACAGCGCTGCCGTGTTGTTTCTGATGAAGGAGGCAATGAATATGGGTATTAAATTTTTTTCCCCCGGGACCGTGAACCATAGGGCTCAGACAGGTGTGAACATACCCGGTGAGCGTCACGCACAGCACCCCCGAGTGAACCTACACCCAGCAAGGGGCAAACGTTGGAGCGCTCGGTCAGATAGGGTGACCCCCTACGGTCGTGGGAAGGTGGCTGTGCCGCGTGCGCCGCGTCTAGCTGCTATTAGCGAGATAAGACTGCAACAATTGATATATACCATGTATTTACATCGTTTCTGGTGCAATAAATTGATAAAAAGACCTAACATCAGCCTGGGGCTCTCTGATAAGTGTGCCATAGTTGTAATCTATGCATTGATCTACTCACCAAGGTTCGCTTTTTTGCCAATTCTTTTACTGCTCTCATAGTGATTCTCTTACACTTCTCATGGCCCCTATGATCTATGATACGATTCCCAGCTGCCCCGATGCCTAGCATGATCACAGTTCCGCATAGATCACAAGTAACAGTGTGTTTCCCAGTTGCTATATCAATCACAGAACCAAGCCGTATTTTGCCATTACCAAAGGTGAATGTGACAGGCTCTAGCATGGGATGCTTCACAGTAGGAATGTCTTAATGTACTATATGTAATTTGCACGCAACAGATGAGGGAGGGACAGCGGAAAGACAATCTTTTGCCATCTGCTAGTCACACATCCGCGATAATGAGAAACACGTGCGCGGCACAGCCACTTTCCCACGACCGTAGGGGGTCACCTAGAGTATCTGTCCGAGCGCTCCAACGTTTGCCCCTTGCCTACACCCAGGTAAGTTCACGCCATCACGCGTCACACCCCGTGAACCTACGGTCGATTGTATACAGTATACCATATATAGCTTTCACGGCCGGTCAATTATGGGATTAATTGTGATCTGTACAGCCTCGATTCAGAAAGACAACTTACAATTTATGCAAGGAAAGCGCGGAACACACACGCAGAAAATTTTATTTAATATTGCATATGCTACGGAGAATGGTGTCGTGTGATGTAAGGTATCATGCGCCCGGATACTGGTATTGTACAATGCGTCTAGCTTTAGAGTATTAAATATATGGATACAGTTGTGTCGTGCCGTGTCAGTCCGCTTCACCCCCTCGTTCTAGCTCAATAAATTCGAGTTCAAACAGACTCCTTCTCGCCATTCGCGCTCTGCTTCCCCTCCGCCATCTCCTTCGCGATCTTCAAATCCACCCCCGGCGCAAACGTGCTCCGGCCCCTGATCCGCGCGCCATACCGATAGAACAAAAACGGCGCAGGCGTGAGGAGCAGCCCAACCAGCCCCAAGAGCGTGCACGCCCAGCCCACGCCCATCCCCTGGAACATCTGCACCGTGAACAGCGGGAACGCCGCCGCCACCGCGCTGCGGATGATCGTGTTCGCCGCGAACGCGGAGCTCGCGAACATCAGGTACGTGTCGATGAGGTAGCTCAGCAGACTTATGAAGATGAGCGAGACGCTCATCCCGATGAGGATCGTGCCAACGGCCGGGACCGCCCACGGAACGGACGCGTAGTTGCCGGACCACCCGACCCAGAAGATCCCGACGACGAACGCGAGCGCGCCGACCATCGCGCCGTACAGCCGCTCCTCCGGCGGTGGGAACCCGCGCCACTTGATCATCAGCACGGGGTAGTGCCGGCTCAGCATCAGGTTGAGCCACGCGCCGATGGAGGTGCCGACGCCGACGCCGATGAACACGAGCCCCGACTGAGAGAGGGTGAAGCCGTGCTTGGCGATGAAGATGAGGGGGAAGGCCTCGAAGAGCGCGTAGAGGACACCGTAGATGAGGGAGAGGTAGATTGTGACGAGGACGAGGATGGGCTCCTGCGCGAGCATGATAAAGGGGCGGTAAAGTGTGCGGTGCAGCACGCCGCGGGGGCTCCAGTCTTGTTTTTCGTGCTCCGCGTATAACTCTGCATTCGGTGCGGGGTTGGAGGGGGAGGCACGGCGCAGGGCCACAGCCTTGCGCTGGAGGATGACCGGCGCAAACGTCTCGGGTAGGCACACCACCATTATCGCGGTGCACACACCCGCGAAAATCATCATGATCCAGTACACCCACCGCCATCCCAAAGTGCTCTCCACCAGGAACCCGCCTACGATCGGGCCCAACACCGGTCCCACAAAGACACACGCCGTGAATAAACTCGTCGCGGGCCCGCGACCGGCGCCGTCCCACACGTCCGCGATGACGCCGCCACAGTTGACCAGAGGCGCGACGGCGAACACGCCGCCGAAGAAGCGTGCTATTAAGAGGCAGGTGATATTGGGCGCAAGGGCTTGGGGAAGGTGGAGGAGCGTGTAAAAGACCATGCAGAAAATGAAGATGGGACGCCGGCCGAGAAGCTCAGAGCCGGGGCCCCAGATGACGGGGCCCGTAACGTAGCCAAGGAGGAAGAAGGATGTGATTAGGTAGGTGAGTTCGGTGGAGACGTGGAATGCGGCGGAGACTGAGGCGGAAGTGGTGGTTGGTGCAGAGGATGCGAATGTCCTGTATACGTAACGGTATGTATATTAGTTTCAATATTAGTGATAATAATGGGTGGCACGCACACGTTGACCGTCATGACGCAGCAGACCAAGGTGACGAACCACTTGTAGCGCTTCGACCAGTTCTGCGGGTTCGCCTGATCGTTCGGGCCATCCCAAGTGACCAGATTCGCATCTACTAGCTCTGCGTCAGCGGGCTTCTTGAGGTCCTTGGGGTCGTGCGGGTCGTCGCCACCATAGAACTCGGTTTCGCGCTCATCTCTGTGGATCTCGGCCTCCAGCCCCGGACTGAGCACCGTCGGGCGGTCCAGGTCCAGGTGGTCGTTGATGATGGTCATACTCGAGCGCGCCGTGTTCGCCATTGCAGGGGTTTGCAATTAGGTGACAATGAGGAGGACGGGGGGAGTATGCTACCCCCCATAAACTGAGAGATCCGCTTTTATACGCTGGGTAGGATCGATGTTGTCAGACTGGCTTGTCATGTTTTTCCGGGACAGATATGAGCAGGCAATTAGCGAGCTGGAAACCTCTTATTCAGGCACCGGGTAAGAGTATAAACAGGAGATTATATGCGACAACTCCGTGCACTCACTCACTCGATGATAATTAATGCAAGTCCACGAGCATCATAACGTCTGATCTTCAGAGTCTGAGCCCTTGTAATGATACCCGCTGTAGGCTAGACGCTGAGCATAGGAATATGCGAAGACTTGAACATGGTTCGGCGTCAACATGGCCGATGACCAAGCTTGACCCACCGAGTTCCGACGAGGCAACGCCGGACTGATGCTGTCATCCTGCGCGATGCGAGCGCACGGCTGCGACTGGAACGCTTCACCCATTGCAAAGTACGTAAGTAGTCAGATCACGCCTAAGGTACGAGTCATTTGTAGTATGTCTAGGAGAGACTACATCACGCCATATCAGGCACCATCGTCGATCAGATCGGTGACTCATGCTGGTGGCCCCCGGGCCCCGTGACCGAGCCTGACTTCACACAATCTGAAAGTAGATAGAAAATGTGTAGTGTCAAATGTATGTTTCAAAATTGCAGAACGGTCGGGGGTACAACTTGGTGAGCAATCGAGCATACAAAACTGCAAAATATGCTGTTTGGGGTTTTCTATAGTAAACACAGCTTAAATCCACCATTTGCATGCAGTACGGCTCATAACTTCCCGGCGCCCCAACCGTTCTGCAAGTTTAAAATTTGGATTTGACGCTATTCAATCTATCTACCTTCAGATTTGTGAACGCCGGTCTTGCAAATTTTGATTTCATCAAACACGAAAATGGCGGGTCAGCCGTAACGTAACGGCCGTAGCAGACGCAGGTTAGCTCTGATTGTATGCAAACTGCGCATCATAAAATAGAGGACATCCTACTCTACCCAATCGCCGCTTATACCTTCATCACATTAGACAGCGTATATCGAGTGTGTATAAAATTAAATTGTGTCTCGCAGTTGATGGTGCAGCTAAAGGTGCGCAAAAGGTGCGTGTAGGTTGGAAAGATGCATGAATCATTAGTCTATTTTCGATACGCTTGGAGCGTACTGAGACCTAGACATGGCCAAGATCTAGAGCGGTTTGGATTGGAGAGCAAGTCGCAAGGAAGTCCGTCAACGGTCAACCGGTCACGGTAAACCTCCGGCTCTCACGCCTCCACTTGGGCGTCTAATAGTCTTTCCTAGACACATCGTGAAACCGGTGAAAGTCTGATATAGGAATATACTGCTCGGAGGCAGTTGACCAGGCTAGATATTCGATTATAATGCCTGACAAACCCCCCGGGGTGCTTTATATAGCTATATCCGGCTGCTCACGATTTCCCGATGCAGACTACAAACCAGTACAAACCACGCGTGGTATCGTGATCTCCTGCCACTATTGTATGTAAGCCCGGCGAACAGCAGGCTTTGATAGTATACACTTCGGGGGCTGAATGTATATAGCATTAATGGGGTAGTGGTAACCTTGGTCGTTGCCACTCGGCTCTCACAGAGTCGACCAGCCGGGGGTTCGATTCCCTCTTAATGCATGTATTTTTGCTAGTCTCGGACACAGTACCCTTCTGACATCCCAATTTGTTCCCAAATTGGGATGTCAGAAGGGTACTGTGTCCGAGACTATATTTTTGCTTTCGGCCCTCAATCATCTTTTCTACTGATTCGATTTTCAGCCCTGATGATAGCGAGCTGGTTGGGCGCTTATGTATAGCATTAATGGGGTAGTGGTAACCTTGGTCGTTGCCACTCGGCTCTCTCAGAGTCGACCAGCCGGGGGTTCGATTCCCTCTTAATGCATGTTGTTTTTCTTCTGCCTCTCAGTTATTCAACACGGGTTCGCTTTTTTGCCGAATAGCAATATCAGTACTTCCCATTGCCGGGCAACACGCCCTTGAGATGTTTAAAGCGCACATGCCAAGACAGGAGTAGGATTTCAACGCAAATTTCGAGTCCCACCGGGACTGTGCGCTCAGTCATAGAGGCAGTCTAAAGAATATATATATATAATGCGAGTGTTCGTGACTTATCATACAGTGCTGTAAACACCAACCACAATGAAAGAAAGTCATTCAGAAGATCACTCGAGGTTGATACTGCCAGGATCAAGCTCAGCGTAACACGCATACTTCTGGTCATCTGCACCATCCCATCCGATTCCCTGCCATACTTGAAATACGCTATCAGGGTCGACGTCCTTCTTGATGCTCCTCAGACGCGCCGCATTCTCTCCCCAGAAGCTCTCCTCGTGATTCGGCCTGACGTCGCGGCTGTCGTTAGTCCATATCCCACCAAAAGGCACTCGCAACCACGCACTCGTAAATGTCTGCCTCGTTAGAATATGCGCCCCCGTCCGGAGCAAAGGCGCGAAGAACATTTCCGGCATTATGAAGGCTGGATATTTCTGCTCTCTGATCCGCGACCGACGTGCTTGCATTCCATGTACCGGTATAAAGGACATGCCACAACGAGTCGTACCAAGCCGGAGTAACAGATGTCTTGCCAAGATTGAATGACGGCGCGGGAAGATCAATCAACACCTGGATAGCCTGCGAGTCCATTTCAGCGCCTGAGGCAACTTGGCCATCCCGAAGCGCCTGAGCAACCCCCCGAGGATCACCTGAGAAGTAATGGCGAGGGATCAATCGAGAGGTCAGGGCGAACGGAATACCGACGCTGTGGACGCATCTTTAGCTAGAGTATCAACGAGGTTCATCTGACGCACTCACATTTCATTCGACACTCCATATGTCACGTTGAAGAAAGCTCGATAGGTAGCGAAAGTCGCGAAAGTCGCGGTACCGTTCGGAAGCAAGTCAGTGACCGGCTTGACAGCCGATTGTAGGACCGACAAGTTGCTACCTGGAAGAACCGCAAAATAGTTCAGCCAGGTCGGTCGAATGATTAATTCGCCCCCAATGCCAAGGTCCATGAGCGCGGGGGCAATTGCGGAAAGGTTGCCAACCAAGTCATAAGTTTGTTCGGGGCCGGTGAAATTCATCGCCAAGAAGACAGCATTGATCGGGACATTAGGATGCACTTTGTAAGTGACTTGGGTCGTCACTCCCCACGTCCCAGCACCACCGCCTCGAATAGCCCTGCCGTCGCAAAAAATGTGTCAACCGCAAGTGCTTTGAATATAAGCTGTGCTCACCAGAACAAATCGGCATTGGAGCATTCGCTCACTACTCGCATCTGCCCATCAGCTGTGACAACATGCGCCTCGAGAAGGTTGTCGACGCCCAGCCCATATGAGGGCGACAAAACGGAGTGACCACCGCCCAGCAGCCATCCCCCCGCAGCGCCAACCTGATTCACGTCACCGCCGATGATGAGAAAATCCTGGGCATCGGCATAATTGTATGCCGTCTCCCACTGCACTCCCGCCCCTAGCGTGAGGGAGTCCTGTGGCGTGGTAGAGCAGAGGGCAGGCACAAAGGTCTGGTTGCGGGAGACGCCCTGCATACCGTGCGTCCAAAGCGCGAATCCTCCTGAATACCAGGTCAACCAGGAGTATAACACAGGACACACAGCGTGAGCACGAACCGCGTCCGCTGGAGCGTCCACTGTAATCGTGCCCAGTGTTTTTGATGACAATGCGAAGGTTATATTTTGTGGCAAACTTGACGTATTGCTGCACATCAGAGACCGTCGTGGCGTGAACCGCGTAATTGGGCACGCTGCCTTGGCCGCACGTAGCAGACTTGTTGTTGGGTGGGACCAGACAGCTGCTCTCCACGCCGCAGGTTTCCCCTGATGATATAAATGCGTTAGTTCAAGCAAGCAGATTGAGCCTGTGTGGGCCAGCTAACAATTGATTTGTTCGTAACTGAAAGTGATCAAATTTAGCCCTAGTTTGAAGCCGCGGTGATAATCAGATTACACACCTCGAGAACATGTCAGTCCGCCACTGATCCACTTGGTAGTTTGCTGTAATCAGCTCGCACTCTGTGGCATTGTAAAGCGGGTCGGATGGGTAGCACGCAGCTCCAATAGGAATGTGAGCGTGTAGCTTGCTACCGATGGAGGTATTGAAAGCGGCCAGGGCTGACGCGCCGGGGAAGCAACTGTCGCCAGGATAGCAGCGCTTCGTGGCAGCGTGAGCGCCAGCGGCCAGACTCAATACACAGACAAAAAGGGGGGAGAGCATCGCTTCCAAGAGAGCGCAGTATCAGTCATTTGGATCAATGCCCCTTTATATAGTTTAAGTCGGGTGCGCATATTTGGCGCGCTGAAGCGGTCAGGCCCATTTGAGCTCTGTCAAGCGGTTGCTTCATCTGCGCAGTCTGATTAGTTAAGCCCGGCGGTGATGGTGACGTCTGCGAAATGAACGTTCGAGAACAATGAGAAGCGCTTACTCTGGCGGTTTCTTTGGCAAGTAGAACACGCGAATTTCATTGTTGATCAAGCTTCGATTGGCAAGTATGGCCCTGCGCGCCCAAGGGAACCTCTGTCCATTGACCTCTGTCACTGTAACCCGGAAAAATCGCCAACACCGAAAGCACAGACAAATTTCCAAATTTGAAGTGTGTGTACAAGCAAACAAAACAAGACAAAACAGAAGCTCTTTGAAAAAGGTGCTAGGGCACATGTACAAGATGCTGGTAGAGAACGTCACGATCACTGTCGCTGCTCGCAACTTTGTCGCATGGGAGCTGTCGTGGTCATAAAATTGACTCCGCGGGTGGTGCCAACGGAATTGCCTAAAGCGGACTTCGAACTGCGCGCGTTCTGCCGTGTTCTGGCTGTGAAACGGTCAACTTATCGTTGTTCTCCACTCCCAATCCCCTCCGCAAGCTTCGCACTCCCTCCTCCATCGTACCAGAAGGTGCGTAATACCAGGCCTCTCCCCAAAGTTGAAACTGACCTGGGTTGAAGTGCCAGTACGTTTGAATCATGTCAGACAACGAAGGGAGCAAGAAATCGGGATACAGGCTCGAATATGCCTCAACAGGAAGGGCGAAATGCAAAGGTACGCGCCATTTGAACATTCATATGATACTATCATCTTATTTGAGCCTTTCTCTTAGGACCTAAACCGTGCGCTGGTAAGCCAGAGCCTGCACTCAATCTGAAGAGGTCCCATGTTGATGTTGATGTTGATGCTGTTCTGTCTAGGCACACCGATCGCGAAAGGCGCGGTTAGACTCGGCTCGCTCGTCGACATGGCAGGACACACCTCCTTGTACGTCCTGTCTCCACTTCCGCACTCTCAGCTTCAAGGCTAATCGGAATGATATACAGCGCATGGAGGCACTGGGGATGTACCACCAAAATGATCATTGCTAACATGAAGAAGTCCTTCACCGAGGCGAGTGAACTGGATGGGTACGAAGACCTGCGCCCAGAGGACCAGGAGAAGATCGACAAAGCGTGGGTGGATGGCCACGTCGCCGACGAGGACATTCCAGCGACTGCGATAAAACCTGCGAAAGATGGAGAGGAGGACGAGGAGGAGAAGCCGAAGAAGAAGCGGGCGCCCCCCAAGAAGAAGGCAGTGAAGGCGGATGAGGACGATGATGAGGACGAGGAGGAAAGGCCGAAGAAGAAGCGAGCGCCCCCCAAGAAGAAGGCAGCGAAAGCAGATTCGGATGAAGACGATGAGGAGCCCAAGAAAAAGCGCGCTCCCCCGAAGAAAAAAGCTCCTGCCGAGAAGAAAGAGAAGGCTGCACCCAAGAAGCGTGCCCCCAAGAAGAAGAAGGTGTGCCTACGCTTATCTTTCGCTCAACATGTATATATGCATCTTGCTGACACACGCCCAGGAGGATTCAGATGAGGAGTCCGGGGAAGACTTCAGCAAAGCCATCGACGAATTGGAGGATGACGAAGATGAAGCCGAGGCGACCGAGGAAGAAGGCGCCAAGAAACGCAAGGTATGAGAAGCTCCCGCGTGATGGGAAGTCTCAGTTTATCTGGTGCTGATACCCTTCCCGCAGCGCCCTGCATCCAAATCCAAGCCAGCTACGCCCAAGAAGGCCAAGCCTTCAAGTTCTCGCTCAAAGAAGAGCAAGGCCGTCTCGGAAGACGACGAAGACGAAGATTGATTATCTTGCTACCCGCGCTTCTGACTTGGTCACTTTATGCACTCGACTCTGCTCTTGCACTCCGTTGTACAGTAATCGTATCTTGCTCTGGACTCTGTTGCCGAAAACTCAGCTATCCTTGAAATGCCCTGCGGCTGCTGGAGGATTGTGGCTATGCTGTCAGAAGCCGTTGGTCTTAGGAATCAACAAGTGCAAACAACTGCCTACGGCATGTACCGATTGGGGCACATCCTTTTCGGCGTGGTCGGGTGCAGCTCCCTGCTTTGTCTCCTGACATAGACCCACTCCAAATGCATGCTCGGCACTCTGAATGACGGGGGGCTGGACTTCATAGTGCTGCGTTAAGCTAGAGACTTGGGCGCGCCTCAGAACACTGCCCATATATTGGACTTGCCGGTCGGATTCTATTGCTGATCGCGGCTAGAGAACCCACGGACTCCAACGACCCGGGACGAAGCTGGCGCCGTTATGCCTATTCAGTGGGATGCTCT